ATGGATGGATGATGGATGGATGGAGGATGGATGGATGGATGGAGGATGGATGGATGGATGGATGGATGGATGGATGATGGATGGATGGATGGATGGATGATGGATGGATGATGGATGGATGATGGATGATGGATGGATGATGGATGGATGGAGGATGGATGGATTGATGGATGGATGGATGGATGGATGGATGGAAGGAGGTAGGTAGATGATAAAAAGATGCTATCAAGTCACCTCTGCCCTGTGACGACCTTACATACAGCAAAGTGCTCCTGCGCCACCATCACACTCACCAGCACGTTCACGTCCATCGCTCTGGCCATCGTGCCAATCCACCTCACCAAGACTCTGCCTCGTCCTCACAGACCCTCCCCTTCACCACGCGTGAGTCCTCTAGTGCCTGACTCCTCTGCTGACACTTCCAAAGCCAGTGAGCTGGGCTGTGCTCTACTGTGATCTACAGGTTTTCACTGGTCGACTTGGGGAAGGTGATCACCAGCCCTTTCTTCCTAGTCTGTCTTAGTCTGGAAGCTCCATTGAAACCTGGCCCTATGAGTGACTCTGCTGGTGTTTGAAATACGTGTGTCAGAGCATTCACATGGCATCAGCACCCACGCCACCCAAGGACTACAGCCTGGCAGACCGGTGGGAGCTACAGATGTGAGGTGTTTTAATGAGTCCAGGGACCTTGGCGAGGGCCAGCTGCATGCTCCGGGCTTGAAGTGTCCTCATCTGAGGCAGAAAGCAGTGACATGACCCATGGTTCCTGACAGGGACTTCCACAGAATCAATCTTAAGGCCTTTTCACCTTAAAAAAAGCACCACAACCTCTATTTAATTTCTTGACTAGGTGAGACACTCGCCTAGCTTAAATATTTTAAAATATCTACTTTAAACACTGTTCCCATTTCCATCCCTTTTCTGTCTATTCCTCTCCTCAGTAATAACTACTTTAATAGCTTCTTGGATATTTTTGCAAAGTTCCTTTATGAAAAGGCAAACCAATATATGTCTTCATATTTTCCTTCAAGAAACTTCTAAGATTATTTTCAGTATCTACTTCATGACCCCCAGTGATTCCAGTCCTACAGTCGCCCGAGAAGGATGCGAATGAGTCCACACCCAGACAAGAGACACATGTCCTCATAATAGCTTTGCTCAGAGTCGCCAAAAAGGAGAAACAGCTCAGTGATTAACAAACTGTGATCTCACCAGGCAGTGGAGGTATTTATTCTTCAGCAATGAAGGCATGCGAGAGCTACTGACACATGCAGAACTAGAAATCTCAAAGAGCATGAAGCAGAAGACAGCGCCCCGCCTAAAACCCACACATATACTGTTTATGTGCTTTTGCATATGAGAACTGGACCATGAAAAAGGAAAACAGAAGGAGAAGTGACATGTTTGAATCGTGGTGCTGACGAAGAAACAGACAAGCCTGTGTTGGAGGAAATGCAGCTGGAATGTTCCTTAGAAGCAGCAGTGGAGACGCTGCCTCCTCATCCTCCAGACACATCCATGGGAAAGACCGATCTCTAGGGAAGGACGTCATATTTGATAAGGTAGAGGAGGGCCAATGAAAATGCGGAAGAGCCACCATGAGATGAGTTCACACGGTGGCTACAGTGTAACTCAGGACGGATGGGCGGTGAGGATGGTGCAGGACGGGACAGCGTTTCACTCTGTTAGCTACGAGCCGGTCCTAACGATTTCATCTTACTTGCACCCACAATCAAGACCCTAGGTACCAGCAGTCAGAGGAGCAGGAGACTGACTGCATTGGGCAAGACTACTGTCAGGGACCTCTCCAAGTTACTGAGGGGCAGTGATGTTGGTTTGAAGACTAAGGTGTGCCTGATTCAGGCGGGGCTCTTTTCCATCACTTTGCTGGGCGTCTGAGAGCTGCACAGTGAATAAGAGTGACAGAAGAAGGAGCCTTGGAGCTGCGATGTTGGAGAAGAGCAGTGAATATGCCAAGGACGGCCAATAGAACAAACAGACATGTCTTGGAGAAAGTGCAGCCGGAGGGCTCCTTGGAGGCAGGGATGGTGAAGCTTCATCTCACGTACCTTGGGCATCTTGCCAGGAGAGGCCACTCATCATTCTTGGCAAGGTGGACGGTCAGTGAAAGGGAAGTCAGTCAACAAGATAGCTTGACGCAGTGACTGCAACGATGGGCTCAAGCATGTCAGAGAGGATGAGGATGGCACAGGATAGGACAGGGGCCACCTACTGGATTCAACGGCACCTAACACCACCACCACATGAACCTGCCCGAGTCGGCACGGACTCGGCACCAAACCACCACCACCAACATGCTGCGTCATCCCAATCACATGACACTCTACAGACCGATGTCCCACAACAGAAAGCAGAACCAGGGCTGCCTGGGAAAGCTGAGTGCCCAGGGCCCAAAGGAGCTTTCTGGGGGGAATGGTCTACAGCTAGGTTTTGGTGGTGACTTGAAGGCGTCCATGTGTCAAAGCCTGTTGAACTGTAGCCTTCAAAAGAATGCACTCCATTGTATGTAAATTATCTTATTGATTTTAAGAATCTAAAAAAAAAAAAAAGATAAAGAAAACTCTGATGACCTAGTAGTAAGAGGCTGCACTGCTATACCAAAGGCACACGGTTCGAATCCACCAGCTGCTCCTCTGGAGAAGGATGGGCAATCTCCTCCCGCGTAATTTACTGCCTCTGAAAACAATGGAGGGTCAGCTATGAGGTGCTTCTGACTCGATGGCACATAGTAACAACAACAACAAAAGATAACTGTTTTTCAAATCAGATATAAGTTTTGTTGTGATGGGGTTTTTTTTCGTTGTATGATAAAAGTCAGACAAAAAGCATCTCTAAAGGGAGCTCTGGTGGCCTAGCGGTAAGAAGTTGTGCCCAGAGGTGACAGATAGATGGATGGTGCAAGGCAGCATGTGGGGCAGGAGGGCACTTGGCTCGGCTGGTAGTGGGGACCTAGTGAAGGGTCCTACCCCGTCTGACCGTCCCCCACCTTGCCAACTCTTCCACCCCCAGAGATCCAGGTGAAGCTGAGCAACTCCAACTCGCGATGCCAGGGCCAGCTGGAGGTCCGGTACCACGGAGCATGGTCTACAGTGTGTAAACATAGCTGGGACCAGCAGGAGCACAGCCAGCAGCCCACGACGTTCTGTCAGCAGCTGGGCTGTGGGGCACTCTTGAGGCTGGATACCTTCTCTCCCTTCAACAAGCCGCATCGCCCTCTCATCTGCCACGGACCACCATGGTCCATCAGCAACTGTAGCATCAGCAGCATCAGCCAGTGCCAGCCTTTAGGTCTGATCTGCTTAGGTGAGTACTGGCCCTGAGCCTGGGCATCTGGGAACCATCAATGTCAGGGGGGGTTCTCAGTTCACAGTATCCCTCCCCCATTACACATATCAGTGTGGAAACAGAAGAGAAAGGCTGAGGGGGTGCTGGCGTAATAGGATGGAAGGGGCAAAGACCTGGCTCCACCAGCTACTATCCTCTGGACCTCCACTTTCCCATCTGTAAAATGGGTAGATACTGCGTACCTCCCAGCACAGGCGTGAGGCATACAGACAATGTTTGGACCAAGTAGATTTAATGGGGGCTCACATTATGAGTTCTGGGCCTCTCCCAACACTACCAGCTGCCCCGTATCCCCGAGTCTCCCCTCCTCCCTCACCTCATTCCTCCCTCTCCTGGCTTCTTACCTCTGCCTCACCTAAGTGTCTGATTTCAGAACCACCTACAACGAGGCCTCCAACAACGAGCCCTCCACCCACCACCACTCCAAAGCCCACTGGTAAGAGGATAAAAAAAAAAAAAGCCCCTCAGCATTAAGGCTGTCAGACTTAGCACATGAAAGCACAAGACATCCGTTAAAATGTAATTTCATTTGGATTTAAATATTTCTTAGTATAAGTATGTCATATGGCCCCTGGGGGCACAAACAGTATGTGCACTCCACTCCACTACTAACCTGAAGGTTGTGGGTTTGAGCCTAGCTGGAGGCACCGCCAAAGAAAGGTCTGGCAATCTTCTGTGAAGATTACCACCGAGGAAACCCTGTTGAATGCAGTTCCATTCTGTAACACACGGGGTCTTCATGAGTTGGAAGAGACTCACCTGCAATGAGCTTGGTTTTTTAATTTCCAGGGTGGTATTTGGGACCTCCCTGGGACGGGAAACTCACTACCCGTCAAGGTTCAGTCGTTCATTTGGGTTTGGGGGCCGCACAGCAATCTGTGTGCAGAGGTGAGGTGAGGGAGGAAGGTCCCTGCTGGCATGCTGTGATAATGCAGGCCACGCTCCTCTCTGTACCCCCCTCTCTCTCCCAGTACCCCCCAGGCTGCAGCTGGTGGCGGGGCCAGCGGGCCTGCGCTGTGCGGGTGTGGTGGAGTTTTACCGGGGCAGCCAGGGTGGCACCATCAGCAGCAACACCCCGGACCTGACCCAGGGCCTGGGGAACCTCATCTGCGGAGCCCTACAGTGTGGCTCCTTCCTGGATCGCCTGCCTGAGCCCAGCGCAGCCGGAGACACCAGCAGAGGGTACCTGCCGCTCCGCTGGACCATCCTGAACACCAACTGCACCTCGCTGGAGCAATGCTTCCAGAGCTTCCAGCCCGAGGACAGTGACCGGCCTCTTGCCGTCCTCTGCTCGGGTGAGTGAGATCTGACCAGCAGAGGGCGCCTTGCCAAGCAGTGACCACTGCTCAGAGCACGGCCTCGAGGGTCAGTCAAGGCACATAGGGTCCAGGCGCCTCCTGAGAACTCAGGGCAGTGGGGGCAAAACCCTGCAAGTGACAGCTTGTCCAATGAACCACCAGCTCAGTGACCTAGGGGGACGGCAGACCACAGGGCCTCCAGGGGGGTCTTAGGAAGAGAGAAGTAAGGGTCCTGTGGAGTAAAGAGGCTGGTAAGGAGGGAATCGCATTTGTCCAGAGTGGGTTGGGATGTGTTCGAGGCAAGCTTCACAGACATTGTAGCTGAATGTCATCAAGATGCTTTCAGCTCATAGAGACCCCACCTGGCAGGGCACAACTGTGACACAGGGTTTCCTAGGCAGTATCGCCATAGTTGGAGAACGGATTGAAACTATCCACTATTTCATTTTACTTGGACCTACAATCAACAACACCCTTGGTCCCAGCTGTCAGGCAATCAGGAGACCTATTGTACTAGGCAAGTTGGCTGTCAGGGACCTCTCCAAAATATTCAAGAGCAACGTTTTCCACTTGAAGACTAAAGTGTGCCTGATTCGAACCATAGTGTTTTTAATGGCTATGCTGCTGAGAACTGGACAACGAGTGAGGATGACAGAAGAATTGATGCCTTTGAGCTGTAGTGTTGGAGAAGAGTACTGAGCATCTCATGGACAGCTAAAAGAACAAACAGACACGTCTTGGAAAAGGTGCAGCCAGAGTGCTCGTTGGAGCCAGGGGTGGTGAAGCTTCATCCCACATATTTTGGGCATGTTGTTAGGAGGGGCTAGTCTTTGGAGAGACATCACGCTTGGAAAGGTGGAGATCAGAGAAAGAGAGGAGGACTTCCAATGAGATGGGTTGACTAAGTGACTATAGCAAAGGGCTCGAGTGTGCCAGAGATTGTGAGGCTAGCCCAGGATAGGACAGGGCTCAGCTCTGTTGTTCGTGGCGTCACTATGAGTCATGCTTGACTTGGCAGTACCTAACAGCAACAGTTTTTGCCGGAGCAGATCTCCAGGTCTATCTTCCGCAGAACCACTGGGTGGGTTTAAACCATCAGCTAACACTGGAGCACTGAACCATGGCAGCACCAAAGCTCTCATCACTGTAGGGCCATGAGTAAGTCTTCAGAGACGAGGAGGGAGAAACGGTGAGAGCCTGGCCTGTCCCCCTGGGGCTCTAGACTGGACACGAGAAAGCCCACTGGGTCCCAGGAAGCTTCCCACTACAGGACAGTTCCTGCTGCAAGCGGATGGGACCGAGGCTGGGCACTGGCATGGATGAGGGAGGCACAGCCGAGACTGAATCAGGGTTGATGGGAAAGTAAGAGAAACTGTATCTTCCAGCGTCAGGAAGGACCGTTCTGGCTCTGGCCAGCTGCCTCAGGAACCAAGTTCAGAGTTCATACTGCTCCAGGGCCCTTTACCATCACTGCAACTCTCTGACTTACAGCCATGCTACACGTGTCACAGTGAGACCCAGGTCCCTCATCCCAACACAGAACCATGGGGTTTCCAATGACTGTCTTTTAAGACTAGATCACTAGGCCTTTCTTCCAAAGTGCCTCTGGGTGGGTTCGAACTGCCAGCCTTTTGTGTGGTAGTCAAGGATTTTAACCCTCTGTGTCACCCAGGGGCTCCAGTCCAGACTATAATAAATATTATCAACTGAGAGCTTACTCTGTGCCAGGGGCCACTCCAGGGCACTATTTAATTGAATGTCCACAGCCTCCTTACAGGGTTGGTACTCTCATGCCCATTTTACAGAGGAGGAAGCTGAGGCTTAGCGAGGCTAAATGGCTTGTGTACGTATCACAGAACACTAGGTAGGATTTCAGCTCAAGCTGTATCTCTGAGGCCTGGCTACTCAAAATGTGGTCCTGGGCCAGCAGAACATCACATGGGAGAAATGCATAGTCTCGGGGTCCACCAGACTCCCTCAGGTCCCCCCATAAGCTGATCCACATTTTAATGAGAACCCATGGTTTGTGGAATCTGGGAGCTCTGGTCCGGACTACTAGGCTGTTCTGTGTGCAGGGTCCAGGTTTTCAGGCTCACTATCTTAGATTTCCTCTAAGTAAGACAACTACCAGAGCTTTGAACACAGACGTTGCTATGGAAACGGGCCAAAGCTGGTGAGGTCACACCTCCTCTCAACTGAGCACGTGATGTTGATGGTCCTGAGAGACGCCAAGCTCCACTCTGACCCAGAAACTGTACCAAGCCCTGGGTCACAGACCTATGCGGCTGAAGGCATGGCCATGGGGTGCGGGGAGCAGGATCTGGGGTTCTGTCCAAGACTCAGAGCAGGGGGTGTTCCTCGTTCCTGTGCTTTCAGTTTTCCTCTTCTGAAACACAAGGTTCCCAAATGGTTGAAAACAACTCAGTAATTCCCATGATAAAGGAGGGCTTCCTGTCCGTTGCATAGCAACCAAACCTGCTGCCTCTGTTCTTTTGCCTCTGAAAACCCGCTGGAGGGTCAGCTGTGGGCCGGTTCCAGCTGGGCAGTACTCAGAGACTCAAGCAAGAAGCAAACTCAGATGGTGGCCAAATGTCCTGCTGTGAATTTGGGTCCTGCCAACAAACCAATCTCCTGCATCAGATCCCCCAAACCCTCAGAAGGAAGCACAAAGGCAGGGTTTCGGGAACCAAGCTTACTGGCAGGACAGGATTGAACAAAACCACTCAAAGAAGCCATTCTATTTTCTTGGGGTGCAGATCTCCTGCCTCTTTAAAGTGCTGAGGACCAAGGATGTCAATGTAAAGACTGAAGTGGCTGGTGTTTTCAATTGTTGTTTATGTGTCTGAAAGCTAGGCAATGAGTAAGAAAAACTGGAGAAAATCAATGCCTTTGAATTGTGGTGTTGGAGAAGCTGGATTGACAAAAGATTAAACAAATCTGTGTTCGAGGAAGTGCAAGCAGGATGCTCCTTGGAGGTGAGGGTGGTGGAACTTCCCAGTTTTGGAAAAAGACATCATGCTGGGAGAGGAATTGTTTTTAGGTGCCATTGACTGTGACTCACAGAGGCCCTGTGAGCGACACATCTGAACCTTGTCTTACCCTGTGCCGCCCTCACGTCTCTGACCTGCTCGAGCCCATTGGTGCAGTTACTGTGTCCATCACTGGGTTGAGAATCTTCCTCTCTCTGACTTTCCACCTTTCCCAAGGTCTTTATCCAAGGACTGACTTAACAACACACCCAAAGTACGTGAGACAGAGTTTCACCCTCCTTGTTTCTAAGGAGCGTCCAGTTTGCTTTTCCTCCAAGACAGACGTGTTTGTTCCTTTGGCAGACCCTGGGATATTCAGTATTCTTGTCTAATACCACAGATCAAGGGTAGAGGGTGCACAAAAGAGAGGAAAGCCCTCACCAGGATGAGCAGTTACAGTGATTCTAACAATGAACTTGAATGAGGCCGAGATCCTAAGGATGGCACAGGACAGGGCAAGGTTTCTGTCTGTTGTTCGCTGTGCGTCACACTATCAAGTCAACAGCATGTCATGGCAACAAACAGCATGTCAAAATGCTACAGGTAGTACTTTTGGTTGGTGGGCAACATCCTGACGGTCCTTGATTAGGACAGTCGTACCATTTTCAACAGGCAGCTCTAGTAGCTTAAGTGGGAAGGGGCTGCGCTGCCAGTCTGAAGGCATGTGGTTCTAATCCACAGGAGAAAGATGGGCAGTCTCCTGCCATGCGATTTACTGCCTCTAAAAACCCACTGGAGGGTCCACTGGGGGCCAGTTCTGACTTGACAGTCCAGCAACAGCAACCATTCTGAACTGGTTTGAAGCCCTGTTGAGAAACTCCCTCTCTTTCCAAGGAGCAGTAAGAGAAGAAGGTTCAATTCTAAGAGGAAGGTGGGCCGGGGGGGGGCCTCTCTCCATTGCTCTACTCTTACCTCCTGCCAGCTTCCTCACCTCAAGGGTTCCTGCTCCAGAATGTCAGCTGGCCAGACCCAGAGAGGCTGGAGACACAGCTTGGTTGGAGGAAGTAGCAGAGGGGCCACCAGGCAGGTGGGAAGAGCAGAAAAAGGCAGCCTTGCTGGTCCCACATAGTGCCTGCCTGTGAAGAGCAGGCCCTGGCCAGGCTCTGGTCAGCTGCCCTGCCTCACGCTCTGCTTCCCTTCTCCAGGCTTCCAGCCCAAGGTGCAGAGCCGCCTGGTGGGAGATGGAGGTGTGTGTGAAGGCATAGTGGAGGTGCGCCAGGGTGGACGGTGGGCAGCCCTGTGTGACAGCCCCCTGTCCAGGAACACAAAGCGATGGGAGGAGGTGTGCCAGGAGCAGCAGTGTGGCAGCTTCAAGACTTACTGGGAGCTGGGTGCCGATGAGAAGACCCCCAAAGGGCTCACCTGTTCCTACCAGAAGCTGTCCCAGTGCCCTACGCTGCAGGAGAAAACCCACTGCAAAAGGGTGTTTGTCACATGTGAGTTGGGTTGGCACGGTGGGGTGAGGGCAGAGCTGGGCTCCTCCTGGCTCTGCAGAGCAGGTCCCAGGAGCTGGACACCGAGTCCTAGAGCCCTGGGGAAGGATGGGGAGAGAGCCAGTGTGGGGAAGGGGTGCAGGATGGCTGGACAGCAGAGAGAATAAACAGTAAGCAGAGCCCAGATAGGCAATAAGCAGTGAATAATGACAGAATGCTCACTGGCAGACGGAAGACAGAAACTCAAGAGATAAATGATTGATAGTCATGAACTACACTAATGGATAGATAAACAGTAATTGAATAATGAATAAAAGAGGGAAGGATGGGTAATAGGTGAATGGTTAGAAGAATGGATAGATGGAAGAACAGATGGGTAAGATGGAGGATGGATGGAAGGAAGGAAAGAAGGATGGATGGATGGATGGATGGATGGAAAGATGGTTGGATGGATGGATGGATGGATGGATGGATGGATGGATGGAAAGAAGATGGATGGATGGATGGAAAGAAAATGGATGGATGGATGGATGATGGATGATGGATGATGGATGGATGGAAGGATGGATGATGGATGATGGGTGGATAAATGATGGATGAATGATGATGGATGGAAGATGGATGGATGGAAGGATGGATGGCTGAATGGAAGATGGATGGATGGATAGATGGATGGAAGATGGATGGATGGATGGATGGATGGATGGATGGATGGATGGAAGATGGATGGATGGCTGAATGGAAGATGGATGGATGGATGAAAGGATGGATGGATGGATGGGTGGATGGATGGCTGAATGGAAGATGGATGGATGGAAGGATGGATGGATGGGTAGATGGATGGATGGATGGATGGAAGACAGAATGGAAGATGGATAAATGGATGGAAGGATGGATGGATG